ATGAAACATAGCAAATTCAGATTGAGCATAACGAAGTACTTACTTTGTTCAACTCGGATATGAGTGTCTCCTGCTGCAAGCGAAATTCCTCCTCTTGAGTGGTTAGTTTTACCCTAAGCGCATCCAATTCTCCTTCGTACTTCTGCGCAAGCTCTTTTTCTTTATCTCGCCGATTCATGAGCTAATATGAAATAAGCAAGAAGTAGTTTGAATAAACTGAAACTCTTGCTGAAAAAGGACTCTACCTTGCTGGCAAATTGCAGTGCTTCAGATTTGGGAGAGGAAAGCTGAGCGATTTCCTGATTCTTCTTCTGCAAACATTCCTGCAGCTCATAATTTCTATTGCGCAGCGCGATAAGTTGTTCTTGGAGCACCAAGAATTCTTCTCTTGACAGTCCTCCACTTGCAGACATAGGTTAAATCCCTAAACAACTGCTGTGAAGATATGACAGCGGAGACTGCATTTGCCAAGAAGATAGAATGTGGGACTGACAGCACATGTGCTGAACTGCAATTATTGGCTCATGCCGTAACACTATAACTAGATCTTCGCAATTGCGGATACTCCAATGCACCCTACGCCTAAGATAACGGCAGCTTTTTGAGATGTTATTTGTTACAGTGAATTACATCCTCAATTCATCTTAAAGTCATCTATGTACTTTAGTTTATAGAAATTTTGTTTTAAAGGGCTAGCGTCAGATGTGGAAATAAATAGCTTTTTTGACATTACCAAAGGGGTTTTTTTAATAGTATAGTTTTGAAGATATTCAATGATAAATTTCTTCGAAAATCTTTTCAGATTAGGATAGTACATCCGGCATGGACGAGCCAGTAGTTATCCAGCTAAGTCGCCCTGAGGTATTATTTGTCACAAACCATTACTCGTCGGGCCCGGACAATTTAACCGGAATAATTGTGTTTTTTGAATAAAGAACGTGGAATACAAATATACAAATGCAAATAGTTCACTTTGGAATAGACTGAAGACGTTTTCATGAGGAATAGATTTATTTAATGGATTTCCTTAAAATTCATTACTGCTCAAAATACTTGAAATTTTGCGTTGCTAAGAAAGCTGCAAAATTTCACTTTGAGAAATATTGGTGGATATTATTCGTCTAATTGGAATAACGTCTTCTTTTTGTCCCTTGAGACCAATGTTAAGTGAATACATTGTTGAGAGCGCTAGTGTACTGGACGCTTATAGATCCTGGTTATATTGTCCGGGCCCGACGGATAATGGTTTGTTTATTTGTATCATGAGCAATAGAAGATACACTGTTCACGACTTCAGGTGTACGTAAATCACCTTTCGTTTGGAGGACGAGACGCCGTAGCAGCAACACTCAGTAATGATTTTATTCATCTTGTAGATATAGAGGCCAAAAAATCTAAACAGACTTTGGACGTTGCCAAAAGAGTCGTCGGAATTCACTTTGATCTTAGTGGAAGTGCTGGTGGGTTTTTATCTCAATAACTTTATCCGTATCGTAACACAGTGGTTCAAAGTTCAGCTTTAACACCTGCATTGTAATTTTGGAATCATTTGATCTTTATCTTTTATCTTATAAGATTAGTTTGAGCTTGAAAAGGGAGAAATGTCA